TTTTTTGGTGGAAAAAAGAAGGTAGACATAATCATTTATCGTAAAGTATAAAATATACAAAGTGTTATATATGATTTATAACATATAAAATATGAATAATATACCCAATTCATATAAATAATACGAAAAATCCCATTAAAATGATCAATTTACAATTACTTTGTGTTACAAATTCGACAAAGAAAAAATTATTTGCGCTTCCTTAAAACGTTTCTTTAATCTTGACATAACCTTTATTGCAATTAGTAATATTATTAACACTGTTCAATATTAAATTGTTAAAATATTCAATATTACTACTCTTGAAGCTATTATACCTGTCGTTAATATGATGGCGGATGATTGGATACAGACTAAAAATGTGCAAGAGAGAAGCATGATGATCAGAAAGGCGAAAATTCCACGCATAATTATCACATGCGGATTTTGTCTAATGATAATTGCGTGCTGCTTTATTATCGGTTTACCCATCTTTGGAATGTCTATGAGATTAATAACCAACTTTACTGATCCAGGCAGACCAATGCCTCTACAAACTTATTATATTTATAATGTAACGAAAACACCACATTACGAGTTGACATTTTTCATGCAAGCTATCTATGTCATGCTCGCTATGACAGCTTATGCTGGAATAGATAATTTTCTCGGACTGCTTGTATTTCATATATGCGGTCAATTGGACATACTGAACGGCCGTTTAACACGTTTGGATAAATACATAAATTCTCAAGCTATGCTAAGAGACTGCGTAACGAAGCATATTTCTTTGCTTAGGTTTTACATTTAAATGAAATATATGTATAATTTAATAAAATATGTTGGTTGTTAATCGAACATATGCAATACACGAAATGCCTTATTTTGCAGGAACATTGCCGTTATTGAAGATGCCTATAATATAACGCTTCTCGCATTATTTGTATACTTTGCAATACTCTTCGCGTTCTATGGTTTCCGGATTATTAACGTAAGTGTCCACAGTTTGCCCAAGAACTTTTTTGCGTAAGTTGATTTTTATCAATGCAAAAATAATAGTCATATATATTAATTGTTCTTAATAATAGATAAATAATTAAGATGTATACTACATTTCTAAAAAATATTGCTTATTTTAATAATTTACTTTTTTTATATATATTGTATGTACGCATATAATCTTAAGATTAGAATATTATATATATACATAATATTTTGTTATAAATACTTAAATCACTATAAAATTTTTAACCCATTTTATGAACGAAATAGCTGTTTGATGGAGAAAATGATATGTCGATCATTCAACTGATATACCTCGTATCTAACATTTTCAATGTTTTTGTGCATATGTGTTTATATTGCGCTCTCGGTGAAATTTTGGTGGCCCAAGTAAGTTTCATTACATGCTTTTGATTAACTATAAAAATCATGCAAATTATGTGTTATTCAAAATGTAATTTAAGTTGCATAAATTACTTATTACAATTACACAATTTATGCACAACTTGTGAGAATTATAAAAATACAAATTATTTCCAAATAGAATGTAAAATATAAGAAAATCCTGATGTGTATTTGATTTATATCTGTTTCGTAAGAATATAGAAATTTCGAATTATTTGCATTTTTTAATAAATTGTTTGAATAATTTATATAATTAAAAATTAATCAATTATTATTAATTATTTTAAACATTGTTTATAATATAAATAAATTACTTAATTATTCAGCAATATATGGCTAATTTCCATAGTGTAGTGTGTGTGAAGAAAAAGTAAATATAATAAGTAATACTTAAACATATTCTTAATACTTTAAAGTGCAATGAAATATATTACGCGGCGTACAGTAATGAATGGTACTCTATGGATTCTAAAATGGCAAAAGATTTGATGTCTCTACTGATAAGAGGCACAAAACCGATCTATCTTACTGCTGGAAAAATATTCCCCATGACAATGGCTACTTTTTGTGGTGTAAGATGTTTTCATAATTGATTACAGTTTTACACTAAAATCATTTATGCTTATTATTTTATAAAAAATTGTTTGCATTTATATCACATTATTATAATAATTCATGTTTTTACTAAAAATATGATTTCTAGCTAATAAAAACATCAGCCGGTTACATATCGGTTTTGCATACAACGAGAAATTAATACAACAAGGATATAAAACTACATTTTTCTTATACTATGCAATTTTTAACAAAATAATTTAAATACTTGTATTATATGGAAGAAAATTGTAAAACTTACTACATGATTCAATTAAAGGTTGTAAATTTTATAAAGCAAATGTACCTGGAATTAAATTCAAGTCCAATCGCAATTCAGAAAGACTTATTTTTGTGATAAACTCTCAAATCTTAAAAAATATATAACGCGGCGTGTAATAATGAATGATATTCTGTAGAGTTAACTTTATATATAAGTCAGTTGTATTATTAGTCTAAAATTATAGTCAAGTCTGAATTATAATTCCCAAAAATTCATATTTTTTACGAACCTAAAATCTTAAAAGCAAATTAAATTATTTATTATTAGTATAAGTATTAATTTAACATTAAGTATATGAGATATTATTATTAAAAAATTATTTTATTAGATTTGCACTTTACAATTAAATGATTCCAAGATATTCAGACGTGTTCTAAAAATATTTAGATACTGTATTAAACGCCTAATGGATCCCGCACAGTTCGTTACTAACTATAATGAAAGTAAAAAATTGCGAATGGTAAGCGTGAGAACATAACGGATGTATATTCTCGCGCCGTTTTTTCACCCTTTCTCTCCTTTACTGTCGTAATTTTTTGTAAAAATTTTTGTCGTAACTACTTTGTGCTAATGTTCTGTACGCAAACGAGGATCGGTGAAGAATATTTAAAACTATTTTTTGTCATAAGTTG